GGCTATGAAGCGCGGGCACGAGCCGAAGCCGGCCCTCGCGGGAGCAGGCGTGGCGGGACCAGGAGGGATGGCAGGTGAGAGGCGGGTCTGGACCAGGTGAGGGGACCAGGCGAGGGATGGGGCCGGCCATGCCGAGGCCCGCAGCCTCGGAGCGATGGGCCCCGGGCTCCGACTCCAGGACCGGAACCCCGAACTTCGCCTCTCTAGACCGCCCCCTGCTGCCAGCCTGTCCCTCGGGCCGGCCCGGACGGCTCCAGCGCCACCTCCTGAGCGGCGAGTTCGACCAGCTGCGAGACTTCCCCATCTTTGAGAGCAACTTCGTGCAGGTGTGGAGCCGGGGCCCCGGCCCCCAACCCCCGGTTTGGAGAACCCCTGCCCCCTGCTCCCCGTCGCTCTCCCGATGTCCATCTCACGGGACTCCTGCTGACCCCACCCCAGACCTCTTGATTTTAACTTCCCGAGAGCCCTGGCCTCACTCCGTGGCTCGGTTTCCCGGGCTTTACACCATTTTATCCTCGACTTTTGACCCCAGGATATCTGCACCCCCCCACACCCACACCCACTCGATGTTTGATCCTTGGTTCCCCACCCCTCACCCTACCAGGATGCCTGACTTTGACCCCTACCCAGTCCTTGCCCCATCCACCTGCCTCTAACCTCTGACCCTTGACCCCAGGTGACCCGTCTAGGAGAAGTTGCCAACAAGGTCACCATGGGGGTGGCCGCCTCCAGTCCAGCCCTAGAGCTCCCAGACCTGTTGCTGCTGGCAGGCCCCGCCAAGGAGAAAGGACACCTGCAGCTCTTTGGGTGACTGCCCTGGACCTCTCTCCCCAACACTGGGCCTCCCGGGCCCCCCAGTCCCTGCTAGCACCCAGACCACTCCCAGCCGTGGTGCCAGCCCACTCTGGGCTGCTGTGCAGCCAGGAGAGCTAGACAGGGAAGTCCCCAGGGCCAGAAATCAGGGGCTATAAAGACGGGGAACAGGCAGCTGCCCCGGACAGTGGCCACTTCTGCAGTGCCTGCTGCCTGCCCCGGGACGTGCACATGGTCACAGCCTTTGGACACTGAGTGCTGGGGCCCCTGAACCCCATCTTCAAAGAGATTGAGTCCAGAGAGGCGAGTCCAGGCCCCACAGCGGGTTCTGGTAGGGGTGGGGGGCTGAGCGGGAACCCAGGCCCTCGTCTCGGCTGGCCCCCGGCTCTTGAGCGCCACGCTGGTCCCTCAGGCTTGGCCTGCATGCCTCCCCCCAGTAGGAAACACACAGACTACACCTTTCTCCCGCTCCCCCCGCCTCCCACTGCAGCTGCACACCCCAAAGTACACACAGGTTGACAAATGTCCTGCCGGCCACCTTCACTTTCTGGATCGCATTTCAGTTGATGCCAGAAGACGGGGAGAGAGAGAAAAGAAAGGAAGGAAAGTGGGGTTAGCACCCACGCCCCAGGCTTCACCTATAGTTCCAAAACCCAAAAAATGGTGTTGGGATGGGGTACCAACCTGGACTACCGCAAGGCCCCTCGCAGCTTTCTCGCCCCACCTCCCCTCAGCGTGAGGCATTCACAGAGCTGGGTGCTGGCATCTGTGGGCCTCTGGACATTCTTCTTTTTTTTAAGATTTATTTATTCCTGCATACAGAACTGGGGCACAGGCCAGAGGTGTGGGGGGTGAGAGGCTCCACCAGAGACAAAGTGGGAGCAGAACAGGCAGGCTGACTAAAATCCACAGCTGAGGGGAGCAGCAGGGAGACAGGAGAGATCTGCTGCGCCCTGTGTTCTCCCTGGCTGGGGATCGAACTCAGGCTGCAGTGGCTGCGACATCCTCACAGTGCTGAGACTTCACCCCTTGCGCCACCAGTGTGTCCCCCATTTGACCGATAGCGGCAGAGTCAGGGCTCCGAGGGGAGGGTGAGGACGTGGCGCAGGGGCCGGGGGCCGAATGGCCCCAACCCACACAACTCCTCAGCAGCTCATGCCCTGCCCCAGGCCGCACACTGTCCAGGGAGGGGAGAGACTGGATTTGCTGTCCCATCTAGGCCTCCTCCAGCCCCCAGGCCTGTCGGGCCCTGGCGCCAGCGCTGTGCTGCAGGCTTTGCCCTTTCGAGAGCAGCTGGCACTGCCTGTGCAGCCTCTCCGGGCTCCCTGCTCATGTCCGCAGGTCAGCGGGGTGCAGCCGCCTTTCACAGACACTCACAATGGAACGCTCTGGCTGGACACCCAGCCTGCCCCCAGGACAGTGTAGTGTGGACAGGTTGGGTTCAAATGCAGCTTCGGCTAACTTCCCTAACTGCCGGCGCCCCAAGTACCTCACTGGGGCGGGGCTAAGAGGAGCACCCACCTCAGGCAGGCGTTTATCCACGGGGTAAAGGGAGAAAGTGGTTGTCACGTGCTTGGGGCCACAGCGAGACTGCGCTGACCCACCCGCTGGCAGGGTGGGCTGGAGCCAGTGTGGCCAGCAGGGGGCGCCAGGCGAGTGTGGCCAGTGTTGGGGTTACCCGTGGACACTGGGGCCCACTGCCCGCGTGTGACCTGGTTTCCTCCCGGAGCCGGAAATCCCTGATTTCCTCCGAATCAGAGCGGGAGCCCAGAATTTCTCCGTTCTCAGCAAGCATTTGCCGTGTGCCTGCCAGGTGGCAGCTAGTAATGGGGACAGACGGGAACGAAAGCCGACGAGAGCCCCCCGCCCACCCCACCCCGCCAAGCCCAGCGGGAAGGCGGACCGCGGGGATGGTCTGTGGAGGGCAGCAGGCGGCGGGGACGTCGGCAAGGGGGGCGGTGGCCAGGGCTGCCAGGGGAGGCCCCCTGAGCTGTGGCTGACAGAGCAGAAGGGGCCAGGCCACGGGCTGGCTGCAGGAGGACCCAGGGAGCGGGGCAGGCGGTGCCAGTTCCCAAGGGAGCACCTAGACGGCTGGACCGGCTCATGAACAGGGGGCCAGGGCGGTGGGAGCCCCAGGAAGGGGGCCGTCGGGGGTGAGCGTGGGAAGGGAACATGGGGCAGATCCTGTGGCGTGCGGGCCCGCGCCGGGGACCCTGAGGCAGCCAGGAAGGGCAGGCGGAGGCCCGAGGACCGGGAAGGGCAGCAGGCGGGGACGTCCAGTTGAGGCCCGCGGGGCGCGGCCTTGCGCTCTCCTAGGCGCCGGCGCGCGCCCCCTGGCGGCCGCTGGGGCGCAGACGGGGTGAGGGCCGCCGCGGAGGCCTGGGTGGCAGTGGCCGCAGGGAGGGACTGCGCATGCTGCCTCCAAGCCGAGGGGGGCTGACAGAGCGAGCGGCGAGGGTGGGGGCAGAACGACGAGTCAGGAGCGACACCAAGATTGTTGGCCAAGCCGGGGTCACTAAGGTTGGGGTGCAGGGAGCTCAGAAACATGATAGCTGGACCCGTGTGTGGCCCCAGACCCAACATCTAGCTGCAAGTCGGGCAGGCGGCATCCGAGTCGACCCCAGGGGAGAGGCCCGCGGGCCGTGCGCGCGCGCGTGCTTAGTGCGTGCACAAGGGCAGGTCCAGAGTGTTTCTCCTGGGCCGAGGGGGTGGCCCCGACCCCGAGGGCGTCCGGCCGGGGAGCCGGGACCTGAGGCCTCCCCTTCCGCCCGCCAGGCTGTTCCCCTTGCAGTTCGTCCAGCTCTTCGTCCACGATGAAAGCCGCTGGCAGCTCAAGGTCAAGTTCCGCACTGGCCGCGCCTTCTACCTGCAGCTGCGGGCCTCCCCGCAGACCCGCGACCGCGAGTTCGGCCAGTGGGTGCGGCTGCTCTACCGCCTGCGCTTCCACTCGGCGCAGGGAGCTGTGCCCTTCACGCAGGACTACTCGGCGCTGGAGGACGGGGAGGACTCGGACTCGGACCTGGACGACGCCGAGGACCTGTTCGAGCGCGAGGTGGGCGGTGCCGGGGGGCTGACGCGAGGGCGGGGCGGTGGGAGGACCCAGAGTCGGAAAGCGGGGTGTGGATCGGCTGGGGGTGCCTGTGTCGGACAGTGGAGGCGCCAAGGGTCCCCGAATCTTAGCTTGGACAGGTTTATGGAACAGGAGGGGCCAGGGCGGACTTAAGTTTGCACTTAGAAAACAAGAGGATCTGAAAGCGGAGAGGCACTGGGGGGCGGGGTGGGGGTCTGTGCTTGCTCAGGTGCTGCCTAAGCCCCAGTTGTGCAGCCTCCCCCTCACCCCAGCTTGACCTGCAGCAGTGGGATCTGGCCAGATGCCCTGCCCACTGTCAGGTCAGGGAGGGACGGGCGCCTGGGACCTGGGGGCTCTTCTTGGAACGCCCCCTCTGCCCATTGAGAACAAAGCCCCTCACTCACCCCCCACCAAGCTGCACACTTGGTGCGGCCAAAGCCTCTGAGACGACCCTCTTTACCCAGCTTCAAGCCATGGAAGCAAGACTCAACCCTCAGTCCTCTGAGCTCTGGGGTCTCTGACCTCCGCAGCACCCCTGGAGGCCGACTGTGGACCAGAGAGAAATGCCCTACCCCTGGCGGACAAATGAGTTATTAAAGTTAATAAAGACCAGCCGCTTAAGCACAGCCCCGGCTCCCGCTGCAGCCCGCTGCGCCGCAGAGGGAGCCCCCTTCCCCCAGGCCAGGCTGTGGGTCCCTGGCGCCAGGTGTCCCTCGAGAAGAGCTCTCCAGAGCCGGCTCCCGCCCAGTACCTCGGGCGTGGTGGCCACAGCCGCAGGCCGCCTGGCCGTCCCCAGACACCCAGGAAGCGTGGCCGTAGCCAGGGTGACCGGCCTTCCTGCTGCTGCCCGCCGAGGCGGCGGCAGAGGTGGCCGGCCAGCGGGGCTGCCTTCCCCGGGCCAGCCCAAGCCGCTGTCCCCACAGCCCCCGGAGACGGACCCTACAGGGCGGAAGTGGAGCCACGGAATCACGGACAGACACTCGCAAGTGCCACAAGACTGTTCTCTGTTCAGGGAGGACCCCCTAACACGGGGTGGGGGGCGCGGGCTGGGCCAGGACTCGCAGCCAGTTATCTCGCAGCTGGAGGACCGTGTTCACTGCGGCACTGGGGGAAGAAAAAAGGGGGTGAGCGGGCTCCAGGGCCGGGGTTCAGGACTGCGAGTGCGCCCCTGACCGTCCTGATCCACTTGACCGGCAGGGGGAGCTGGTTCACCGGCCGCCAGACCTCCTATGCTGATTCTGGCACGCTGAGCCCCAAATGAGGCCTCCTGATGGGGGGTTCTGAGCAGCCACCCCTGGGGTCCTGCAGTAGGGCCTGAGGAGCTCGCCCCGGGGAGCTGCCTGAGTGGCCGCTGGCAGGGACGGCAGAGCGTGAGGAGCCGGGTCGGCCTGGGGAGCGGCCTCCTCCCCCACCCAGCCGGCAGCGCCGGACAGCCCCGGGCAGCGCGGGGCAGCTGGCAGCAGCCTCCCCTCCCAGCCTGCAGGGGAGCTGGAGGACTGGGGCCAGGCGGAAGAGGGTGAGGAGCAGCTCCCGCACCCTCACCTTTGACGTCCAGCTTGCACTCGGCCAGCGCCTCCCCCAGCTCGTTGACTGCCCGGCAGGAGTAAGTCCCCGAGTCGAAGGGGGAGGGGCGGCGGATGCTGAGCGTCAGCACCCCCTGGTAGTTGGTCATCAGGAACTTGGGGTCCTCGCGGATTTCCATCTTGTTCTTCATCCAGACCACCTTGGGCTGTTGAGGGTGCGGGAGAGGAAGCCGCTCAAGGACCCCGGGTGCTGGCCTGATGGAAGCCACCTGGGGTCTTGCCGGTGCCCCTCCGCCCTCGCTGGCCTGCTCTGGGCCCGTGCTGGCTGTTCCCGCCTGCAGCACTGCCTTCCCGCTTCGCACCTGCCAGCGCCATCTTCTGGGTCTCGGCTCACCCAGGCCGCCCTCCCCGCGCCGGGACAGGGATGCCCATTCGGCCCCCTCCTAGGCCCCACCACGCGGCTGCGCCCTTCGGGGTTTTATGGTGGTCTGCACAAATGTCAGCCTCCCGCACGCACAGGAGTTTCTTGTCCAGTTCACCCAGCGCCCAGGCCTTTCAGGGCGTGCTGGGAGTGAGTGGCACGAGGCGGAGGCGGGATGCCCCACTGATGCAAACAGGCAAATGGCCTGGTCCGGAGCAGCGGCCTGGGCTGGGGGCAGTTACTGCGCTGAGGCTCCACCCCCGGCCACCAGCGGGGTGGGGCTTGGAAACGGCCCAGGGGTCGGCCTGGAGCAAGCGGGCTACAGGAGCCCCAGGGGCGCCATGCTCCTGGCTAGGTGGAGGCCAGTCGCTGGCCAGCGCTGCCCATGTCCAAACCCTGCTGGGGTCGGGAAACCCGAGCCGGCGGGAAGACGTGGGCAGCCCGGGAGGGGAGAACATTCCCCTGGAATGTTCCCGAGGGTCATCGGCATGTGATTTCTGAGACTGGGGCTCCGGCCAGAGGGGAAAGACAGGGCGGGTGAGAAGGAGCCAGTTCCATGCAACAGAGAGCGTCGGTGGCAGGGGCGTGGCTTCGCCTGGGGGCTCCCTTGTGTGTTCACACAGACGCCCGCACACACCTTTGGGTGGCCCCTGACGGCACAGTTGAGGGCAGCGGAGTAGCCAGCCACCACCACCCGGTCTGGCAGGGGCGTCAGGAACTTGGGAGGGGTCCGGAAGTCGTGCTCCTTGTAGTCCAGGGGCTTGAAGAACAGACCTGGGGGATGGAGCTATGCCTGTCAGTGCCCTCCCCCACCACCCCCGACCACTCTCCTCCATCGCTAGGTGCCACCCGCTTTTGAATGGGGTGGGGGAGTCAAGTTCAGACGCCGGGGTGGGGAGCCTACCTGTCTTGAGGATCTGGGCGGTGTTCTTGGAGACACCGGGGATGTCGCTGAGCCCACAGATGTTCTCGCTGAAGACGCGGAAGTAGTACTCGTTGCCCACGATGAGGTCGGACACCGTGCAGTGGGTGGGCCGGCTGTGTTCATAGACGTTGAACCACTCCTAGGGTGCGGACACGGGCGAGAAGCATCACCACCAGAGGGTGGGAGAAGCACGTGCTACACGGAGCAAACGCACCATTCACAAGGGCAGAGCGCCCCGCGGACCTGAGTGTCCTGCAAGGGACGGCCGGAGAAAAATTAGAGTAGCTTTGCATTGTGGAATATGACTCAGCCGTGAAAAGGAATGGAGGGCTGATGTGTGTTCCAATGTGGAGGGACCTTGGAAGCACGATGTTTCCAAGACATGAAAGGCCACATAGTGTGGCCCCATTTATACTAGATCCTCAGAAGACACAAGTCCACAGGGAGGAAGCAGGTGGCTCGTTGCCTGGAGTGAAGGGCGGTGGCTGCTTTTCCTCTTCCTATTTTTTTATTTTTCCTTTTGGGGAGTGACTACTTAAGGACTTAAGGACTGCTGGATCTGCCTGGGAACTGGCTGGAACACACTACATCTTTAGTGTTGATAATCTTGTTACAACATAAAAAAAAAAAATCCATGCAGCTGTGGCCACCCAAAGGCACCTCCAGCCCTTCCCTCCAGGCGGATGCCTCTGGTCTCCCAGTTAGGAAATGGGGACCCACCGCAGCCCCCGCCTCTCACCATGGTCTTCTTGTCGGCCTTCTGGATGAAATACCCAGTGACCTCACTGTTCCCGTCATCCTTGGGGGGCTGCCACTCCACCAGCGCGTTTCCGCCCCACACCTCCTTCACCACCACGTTCTCCGCGGGCCCCGCCTTCTCTGGAAGATGGAGTGGGGTGTCCGTTCATCCGTCCTCCCCAAGGCTCCCCGCCCCATCCCCTCACCTCAGCGCCCTGCAGCGCTGCGCCCCCTGCCAGGCCACCCTCGCGGGGGCCCCCCTCCCGCTGGCGGCGCACCCACGACCCGGATGCGGATGGAGGCCTCGTCCTTCATGTTCTCGATCTGCACGCTCAGCGTGTACTCCCCGGAGTCGGAGCGCGCCGCCTGGCGCACGAAGAACACAGTGTCCAGGTCGCTGGTCCGCACGTGCACGCGGCTCGAGTCCAGGGGCGCCCCTGCCTTGGTCCACACCACCTGCGGCCGGGGCTTCCCCTGCGCGGCAGCAGGCGGGGCTCAGTCAGTCGGGGTAACCCCCTGGAGCGGACCCCCGCCCCCCGACCCGCTGGCACCTGGAAGGGGATGACGAGGTTGATCTGCTCCCCGACTCGGCGGATATATGTCTGGCGGAGGTGGCGGGGGAGGCGGATCTTGGGTTGCTCTGGGGGCGCAAACACAGGGGGGCTCAGCGGGGCCGGCCGGAAGAGGGATGGTGGCCCACAGGGGTCGCTTGGGGCCGCCCCGTCTGAAGCCAGCGAGCCGGTGGGGTGCACCAGCTTGGTCTTTGGGCACACGGGGTGGGGCCGGGCACGCACCCACAATCTCCCGGATGGTGACGGGCTGCACCAGCGTGGCCGGCTGGCTGCGCCCCGCGATGTTGACCCCGACGACGCGGAAGAGGATCCTCGCTCCGGTGGGGAGATTCTTGACGGTGAAGCCGCAGCGCTCCACGGGCTCCGAGTTGGCGGGAAGCCATTCCTCCGCTGGCAGAGAGCAGCGGGCCTGCTGGGTCCCTCCCGGGAGCCCGCTCCCCAAACCCCTGGGCAGAGCCTTGGTGGCCTGGTACAGGACGGGGGGGGGACAAGCCACGGGAGTGCGGCGCTCCCCGCAGGTCTGAGGCCTGGGGGGCCGCAGGTGGGCGGGGTCACAGCGGACAGCGAGAAGGGAAAGGGGGCGTGGCCAGCCCCATCTTGCCCTGCACTGCCGCTGGGCAGCTGGGCAGCCGGAGGTGTCCTGCATGGACTTGGGTGAGTTTGAAGAAGAGAGGGAGGGAGGAGGGTGGACGGGGGGTGGGCGGAGGCCAGGAAGCTGAGTGAGGACGGGGGCAGACACGGGGGGCGGCGGGGTGAAGGGGCAGCGTGCAGGACGGGGCCTGGGGGCAGCAGGCCTGGCTTGGCCCACCCCGGAACCCGGGCGCCTGCAACACGTGCAGGTGCCCGG